CCACCTAGTAAACACTGCCCTTCGAAAAGCACAAGAGTCTACAAAGATATGTGAATACGTTAAAATCTTTTACGAGAAACTACTGACCTCGGAAAAAGACCCCAACGGACCTATAGTCCCAGGGGAAATGGAACACATGTTGTGGGAATCAACAAAAAGAATCTTATCCACGTTGGAAGAGGAAAGATTGGATCAACCAATCACACTGGCCGAACTCACTGCCGCCATGAAAAGCATGGCCAGAGGCAAGTGTCCCGGTCCAGACAGTTTCCCCGTAGAATTTTTTGACAAATTTTGGTCTCTATTGGGACCAGATCTGCTAAGTGTATTTAATGTTGTCTTGGAAGAACATCGGTTGGGCACACGCACCACTGAAGGAGTCATTACACTGCTATATAAAAAGGGGGATAAGGCGGATGTTAGAAACTACCGCCCCATCTCATTGCTAAATGTAGCTGGAAAAATCCTTGCAAAAAACATGGCTAAACGCCTTTCACCACTTATGACCAGATTAGTCGCCCCGGAGCAGTCTGGGTTTGTCCCAGGAAGATTAGTACTGGATAATGTGATGACCATAACACAAGCCATAGACCTGATCAAGACCATGGAGACAAACACTGCAATCATTCTAATCGACTTCGAGAAGGCCTATGATCGGGTTAATTGGAACTTTGTTCAGGCAGTCTTAAGTAGGGGTAGGTGGGAACTTTCGAAGGTGGGTCAACGTACTCTACCAAGGATCTCATGGGAGAGTAGTGGTCAATGACTTCATATCTGACCCCTTCACACTTTCACGGTCGCTCAGGCAAGGTTGCCCTCTGGCTCCCTCGCTTTTTGTGATTCAGATGGAAATACTCCTCAACATGATAAGAACACACCCTCATTACACAGGACTGAAAGTATCACCTCACTATGAACTTAAAGTTTCGGCCTTAGCAGATGACTTTTTTGCGGTATCAGAGAATTCAGTTCATCTCTCAATGCTCTACGGGAATGCCTCACGGTTTATGAAGCGGCATCAGAAATGAAGATAAGTTGGAACAAATCCACAGAACTGACTCCAAAAGACATCCCTTTGGCCGCAGATCTTGGTATCAGATCTAAGCCTAGCACAGAGGCAGAAAGGTACCTTGGAATACTAATATCCTTTGGGGACTGTGTTAAAGAACAAACAAGTATCATTGAAAACCGCATAAGGGATGCCTGCTCAAAGAGATCAAAAGCATCACATATCTCCCTCTTTGGTAGAGCACTCATAATTAACAACGCTATTCTCTCCACTTGTTTGTACATACTATCATTTAGATCACTCCCAGCTTCATCAGCCCAACTAATCAGACAAATCCTCACTAAGTATCTGTGGAAAGGAGACTCTAACATACCTACCTGCATGAACAAGGTCGCCTGGTGGAAAATCACGGAAAAGAAGTCCCAAGGAGGTCTAGGTATCCTAGACCCAGAGAAACAGAATGACGCTTTGCTGGCCGAATGACCAGTAAGATTGCTAACTTCCTCAGATATTCAACTATGGCTGGAACTGGCTCAGATAACATTAGCAAAGGATTGGGGTCTCAATGACCCTGATGCAGCTTGGCAGGCACTGCTAATGCACTCATTCATCTCATCAGTTAAGTCTAACACCTGGCAGCCTATCCTGAAATCATGGGGTAGGATACTACCGTACACATTATCACACCCGACTGACGGTACAGAAGTACTGCACACGTGCTTATATGAGAATCCAACAATTCTTAACTCCTCAGGACGACGATTCTCTGTCTCTCTCACAAGCCGGGCAATTTTGCTCGCAAATGGATGCAGCGGGGTATTTGGCAGATCCGCCACCTGGTAGTACAAGATACAGGGGAATGACTCCCTTTGGAAGAGCTCAGACACAAGTTAAGGGGACTGCGCAATGTGGAAGGTCACAGAGATGAACTCATCAGGGTCATACCACCCACATGGCGGACAATCCTCAGAAACAAGGAGCAGGACCAACGAGCTGATACATGGTGGAGACTGGGAAATGATATCTCTACCGTCATACGCATCGACTCAAGGGTCAATCAGACAACAGTCTTCTCCAAGTGGAGAACAGGTAAGACATTTCTGGAAAAAATTGAGGACAATGCTGATATACAAGTCAATTGGAGCTGGCAAGAAATAGCGATACGGGCAAACGAACACGGAGGCAAGGTGAGATTTTCACTCATACTAGATGGGCAACCGAAGGACAAATGGAGAGTCGATGCACAAAGGACGGGTTGGGTATTCTCAGATGAGTCTGCTAAGACTACCACAATTCCGATACCGGAGTACACCCCGCAGATCGGATACAAGCTACGCTTGAAGGCCACCTCATTGAAGATGAATGTATTGAGCGCTTGGAAGAAGAATGTAAGGGGTCATCCACTCCCAAACCTCAACATTCAGTGGGTCACCTCCTTCATCGGGCTACTACTAAGCATACTAGAAGTAAAGCTAGCAGGCCTGCAGTGGATGCACCTCCATTCGTGCGTTCCTACTGCAGCATGGTGTGCTGAAAGAGGCATGCAGATTTCCCCCCTCTGCGTCACCTGTCCTCAGGAATCTTTGGAGGATGCAACTCATCTGTGGTGGGAATGTGTCGTTGCCAGGGGCTTCTGGGAATGGGCTAGTCGAATGTGGTTTGCAGCATACGGTCCAGAAGAAGTCTGGACGAAAGAGTTCATCATGGGAGGAAGTACGAAGAAGGACAACAAAACAGTCATAGCCTACAAGTTCAGGACAGTGGGCTTTTGGATTTTGTGGCTAGCTAGACGAGAGAGAGTCTTTAAGGATACTACCTGGTCTCAGTATACAATTAGAAATAAGTTCAAATATGCTATTCGTAATCTGATTGGAGCAGAATGGAGGAAGGAGAGGACTTCCTGCCATCTGCTCCAGATCGCAAAAGGGAACATGATACCAAGGTGGGCTGCTCCGTATAAGTGGTTAACTTTCTCTGACGAAGGTCGTCTTACCACCTCCTGCTTTCTAAGGGATGAGGTGGAAGAAGTCTCATTCCAATAGATTTTTTATCAGCAAGGCTAAGGGTAAGCAATTCAGATAGAGCCAGGCCTAAGTAGGAGACTAGGTCCTCGGGCCATATTCAGGCAGCTACAGTAAGCTGAGAGGTCTTCGTGCTGAGTGTTCATCCCTGGGCTCTGTTTCAGTTCTCAAGAAAGGACGCTGGACCTGGTTTCCAGCAATCCGGGTTGAAMTGTGAGGTCCCCGGCCTCTAGCCATGTCATTTTAATATCAAGCAAACTTCTGTTACAAAAAAAAAAAAAAAGGCGACGGAAGTACCGACGGCCGTGGTGTCAGACCGGGTGTCATATCTACAGGGGTCGGCCATGGTGTCAGAGGGGAAAACAAAAAAAAATAAAAAATGCCCAACGAATACTTTTGGACCGAAACCGCTCATTTAGAGTTGGCGCGTGGTTTCTTTGCCAGCGCGTGTATCTTTTGCCTTTCAGGTTTCAAAGCATGCCACGTCTGCCGTTATTTCTTTCTTAAATCGGTTGATTGTTTGATCAGCCATGTAAGTGTAGTGCCTGCCAGGTGAAGTGCTCACCTACAAAGTACGAAATTTAGCAGGTAGACCGACACAGTAGCCTGAGATGCTTGCCTATGTGATAGCCTACATTAAGCCGAGCCCGAGTGGATGCTAGGGGTGCTGGTAAGAGCAGACACCACTAGCACTTCCCGGGAGGCTCCGCCTATGGTGGGGAGCAGCACCTGCTGGAAAGCGGGTCCAGCGTCCCAGGACACTGTAGTTGATTGTTTGATCGGTCATGTAATTGTAGTGCCTGCCAGGTGCAGTGCTCACCTACAAAGTACAACGTGTGATGAGTTCTGTGTATACAATAGTGATAGGGGTCTTCTGGGAGGGGGTGTTGTAATTTTGAGGGCGATGCTCGCAGTGTTGCAGGGACTTCCACTATTGCAGTTGACTCATTATGAGGTGGAGGAATGAGGAAACGGTTATCCGGTGATTCCAGTCTATCTTTCCATATGGTTTCCGTTAGCCTCTGATTTTTCAAGTGACACCCCCATCTTCTCCTACTTCGCATATCCTCTTGCCGCGTCTTGCGGAGATCAATCCAGATCATACTTGCAACTGCACGAGCCGCACATTCGTGTGGAGTTCCGTAAAGAGTTCCGTGCGGGGGGTGCCTGTGCGGAATCGTGCAGGTTTTTTATTTGGGGTAACTACGGTGCAGTCACGAAAGCAGTTTGTAATTGCATTTGAAACTGCGTTTTAGCAGTTTAGTCAGGGCCCGAGTTTCAATTGCAATTGAAACTGGGGCTGCCTTTAGGTAGCAGTTCAGTCAGGGCCCTCGTCCATCCACGAACAGCAGATTACAAAAAAAAAGAAAAAAAAAGCATCCCTTATGCTGTGATTGTGGTCCGATAAAGGTTGCTACAGTACTTGTCTGGAACTGAATGAAACGAGGCAGTTAGCTGCCTCGCGTGGAATCCGCCCTGCCTGGCTGGCAGGGCGCTAGAAGGACCTCACAACAAAAAGAAAACAAAGAAAACGACATGTCTCATGGTCCTGACATACTGGCCAGATACATTCCTCAAAGCACTGGTGTAGCTTCCACCTACGTGGATTCATAGTTCCTCGTTTCTTTTCTTTTCTTTTTTCTCTTTTTCTTTCCTTTTTCTTCTTTGACCCCATCCCTGCACTGTTGAAATACAGACCCACGGCCCCGCCACGCTACATCTGGGCTGTGGCCAAGGCATCTCGGCCGTGGCCCAAACATGGGGCGTTTTTTTTTGTTTTTTTTTCCAGCCGCGGCGCAACGCGTGCGGCGCGCGACCAAAAAAAAGGAAAGAAAAGAAAACCAGCCACCTGTCTGACTGAACTGCTAGAAAAGGAGAGCCCGAGTTTCAACTGCAATTGAAACTTGGGCCCTGTCTAAACTGCTAAAACGCAGTTCGAAATGCAATTGCAAACTGTAACCCTGACTGCGCCGTAGTTTTCTCTTTGTATTTTTATTATTATTATTTTATCTTTTTTGGGAGAGGGAACAGGGGGCGTATGACAGGAAGATGGGGGATATGGCAAGGAGAGGGGGATATGGAGAGGAGGAGGAGGATGTGGACGAGGAGGACGACGAGGATAGCGAGGATGACGAGGAGGAGGAGTCGAGATGGGGGAGGAGAAGAGATGGACGGAGGGAAAAGAGGAAGGGCAGGAGGAGGAGGAGATATGGATGGCGAGGAAGGGGAGGACACGAGGAAGGGAAGGAGACGAGGAGGCATGGAAGATGAGGAAGTACGAGGAGGAGGAGACAAGGAGGATGAGGAAGGGCAGGAGGAGGACGACGAACATGAGGAGGAGGAGGAGGAGGAGGAGGAGGAGACGGAAAGGAGAAGGGAGGAGGAGACATGGAGGATGAGGAAGGGGAGGAGGAGCAAGGTGAGGCAATACTCCTGTAATTTTTTTTTCATCTCGCTTATAATTTTGGCGGGGGGCTTCAAACGCACCGTTTCGACCGCGGCCTTTTTTTTCTGAGGGGGGTGACAGGTCGTTCTCCGCACACGTCGTGCCGCACGTAGGGAACCGCCCTCACGGCGTGCGCTTGCATGTATGATCCAGATCAGTCTAAAGCTGTGGAGAGCATCATTCTTTTTTTTCTGGTATCATTCTGAGCTCGTTGGCCCCGTGCCGATTCCAGTTCTTCTTTCAGTTTCTTCCACCCTTATGGGGTTTTGTCCTTATTGCCTCCGTTACCTTGGCCATGGCTTGCTGGAACAGGAAGGACAAATCTTTCCTCTCAAAGGAGCATCTGGCTCTGCAAATAACCATCAGAATATGTAATCTGATGTATCAGGAACTCCCAACTCTTCTTCTCCTCTGATTTACTCCCAAGTAAAAATTAGTTTGATGTCCCATGGGAATTGTTCAATCCCCAGGAAGAGCCACCTCCCACCCACCATCTCCAAACTTGCATAGCCATAGGGCATTTCCGCAGACAATGTCCTATTCCGGGGCCAGGGTTGATTGGGGGGTCGCCTTTTGGCGGGGGAAGATGGTTGCAAGGGGTCAGCCCGTTTCTGCAAAGGAAGAGGATGGGTTCCTCTCCCTGTCCTTTTTGTCGTAGGAGTGAACGATCAGGTGGGGATCGTTCCGCTTTCATTTGATGGACTCCTCGTTTCATCAACATATCTATACAAGTCAGCCAAAAAAGGACTGAGGACAGGTTGTGTTAAAAAATTAATAGGAGTCAAAGCTTTTCTCATAATGGGTCTTTAAACTCAGTAGCTTGTTCATGATTGAAAAAAAGAAAAGTGGCCATTCCTTTTTTTTTCTTTTTTTTGTTTGAAATTTCTGCCTGCAACAACAGATAGGAGTGATGGCTAGAGCATGCACTCCTGCCTGTCTTGCAGGGGCCTCCAGTCTATTGGCGGGGAGCTACACCTGCTGGAAAGCAGCGTCCCCTGAGATACAATGTTGAGATGATAAAACAGCACGTGCTGGGAACCGGGCCCAGCGTCCCTCATGATGTCACTGATGCTATTGATAGTAAGACAATGATGATGAAGATACTGGTGATCATAAGGCTGCTGCTGCTGCTGCTGATGATGATGATGATGTTAATCTAAGATAATCTATAGAAAACTATGAACTACATCAGCAAAACCTGGCCTCACAATCCATGAGCAACTCCTAGCGTCCCCTATAGGGGGGATGCGTATCATGCTGTATTGGCAGATGGGAGATAGATGTTCTTTCTGTTCAAGTTCCAACCTTGAACTACCCAATCCGGGGTTGGGAGGCACCTAAAAAGGATCGGCAATTGCAGTGGCCTGTGCGAGGTAAACATGATTTGGTCAGTGAGGCCCTAGTCTTCTCACAAGGGGGACGTCCCTTTCCACCTAGATTTGTTTACCTGTGATGTTACCGGTGACTATCAGTGCCCCCTTCTATCAATTGTCTACCACGTGGGCACAGAGAACGCAGCCCTAAGGTAGCCAAAGCAATGGGACTAAGCACGCATGCGCAAAAGAGAGAGAGAGAGAGAGAGAGAGAGAGAGAGAGAGAGAGAGAGAGAGAGAGAAGTGCGATCGGACATATGGATACGCAAGGACGGAGCTGCCAGTAGGGGCTTGAACTCGAGACCACCCGCGAGACAGTAACGGGACTTGGGAAGCAGCGAATATACCAGACTACGAGATCGAACATGCGACCTGTGCCACGAAACACCGCGTGGAACTACGGTAACCCGGCCAAGAGGGACTACCGGGTGGGGGGCATGGATCTACTCGAAATGATGAAAAAGGGGGATCCGACACAGATCTGGCTGAACTGTATGACTGTAGAAGGACGCGACGCCGACGGATAAGGGTGTCAGAGGAGGAACTGATGCAGAACTGAACTAGAAAATAAATAGGAAATATATATAGGAACGGATACAGAGATGTGGTACGCGACTAAGTCGTACGAGTAGCTATTTAACTAACAGTTCCAAAGAAACCAGTCTTTTTGGTATGAGGATCGAGGGACCCCCCCTGATGATGATCGGCTGGCAACCGATCAAAACGCGGCGTAGGGGGAAGCAGCTGGACTGTAGGTGGAGACTGGCAGTGATGTGCCATGTACGAGCTTACATGTGACGGGAGAGAGGTTTTGGGTTGTTGTACTGAGCTTATCGATTCATCTTTCTCGCAATCGCTCGTCCTTCTTTCCTTTCATGTGATCTTTGTGCATGAGAACGCGCTGTGTGTTTGAACTATCCAAGTAAGAGGAGGGGGGTGATAACCGACTGGGAAAGACACCTAGGACGGTGGTCGCTAGACGTGAAACGGCAAAGGAGGATAACGTGAAGAGACGGTGGAAGAAAGTGGGGAGCAGTGGGAACCGTAGAAACCGGAGGGAGGTAGTAGGACGTTGAAGAGACGGGCAAGATGGTGTGTTACACGTGCGGAAAGGACGGCCATTTTGCACGGGATTGCCTGCAACGCGCAGGCACGACGGCGAATGGTAGCCAGAATGAGGGTAGCGGAGGTAACTACTATAGATATAGCGGCCTGACATGGCAACAGAAAAGGACATGGAGGACATTACCTGGATGAGAGAACTTTGCTCAAAACTAGTGAAGGAAAGAAAGGAGAGAGAAGATCGACAGAAAGAGGAGGAAAGGCAGAAATTGGAGGAGGAGAGGCAGAGAAGGGAGGAAGAGCTACACCGGCAACACAAGAGTGAGTTAGATAGGCAAGGGGAGATACGAGATGCTAGGCTCATGACAGCGATGACCACTTAACTAAAGACCCTGTACGATAAACGGTTAGGCCAAATGGGAGAGCTGCGATCGAAGATGCAGATCAGACACAATCAATGCGAACATATAGGAAAAATGAGAAGTGAAGTAGTGGACTTAGAGAAGGAACTGGTGAAGGAGGATAGCCGAGAAAAAGGAAAAAGAGGAACTACGGCGGAGGCTGGCGCAACTAGGGAAACTGAAGGAGGATAGAGAGCTAGCACGCGCAAAGAAGAAGGTTATGGAGCAAGAGATAGAGTGGGAAACAGAACAGACGCACATGGAAACAGAACAGACGCGCATGGAAATGGAACAGACACGCATGGAAATGGACCACGAAGAGGATCGATTCGCCCCTTCCTCTTCGGCGCGACCACCAAGGAGGCAGAGGGAAACACCGAGTACGCCATCGCGACCACCACGACGTCAGAAGCTGGTTAGACAACCGAACCTAGGAATCCGGATCGAGGAACCTTCCACAACACGCACGCTAAGGACACGATCGCAGGCAAAGAAGAACCCGGTGGTAGACTATGAGACGCTGCTGGCAGGATGGAAAGAAATCACAACGGACGGATCGAAGATGAATGTGGTTGACTACTGTATGAGTATGAAGAGCTTCCTACGAACAAGGACAATGGCGGAACTACAGTGCCTACGCGATGAAGAGCAGATCGACTACGCGACTAGAGAGAAGACAATCAGGGGACTGATCGCCAATCGGATGCAGCAGGCCATCCTACGCACAAGCAACTCACGTGACAACGATGAAGATGAAGTGACTCCGGAGAGAGATCCGGACATCATGGACACCTAACATGTGAGCCTCGACCGAACCTGGGCAATGTGGGACTCAATGGTCATGATTAGGCAATGGATTAGTGATAGGACCATGCGAGACCAAATCGACGCCGCACTAAGATATGTCCTGGTGATTCTGACACTACAGGGAGCGATACCATGGGCAGAAAAGTTCCATGATTTATGGGAGGATGAGAAGTTAGAGTGGGAGAAGCCTACTCGATGCGTATATGCTCTGATCTCGGCGAAGTGTAGGAAGATCTATATAGGCCGTAACGGTAGAGATCTCTCTCATAGATGGAGGGAGCATGTAGCCTGCAGCACCGGGAAGGAATATAGATGTCAGCCACTATACAGATGGCTACGTAAGGTAGGTACGGAAGACTATATTGCAATATCACTGACGGCAGCGGAAGCAGAAGAGACGGATCTCAAATAGATCGAGCGCTGCCTCATCAGGAAATGGTCGCCAACACTAAATCTACAGGATAAGAATCCGAGGCAACCAAAGAGGCGAGAGAAAAGGAGAGGCAAGCGAGAGAGAAAAGGGAAAAGGAATGCTCGCGGGAAGAAGGGACAGATCCTTAGATTTGTAGACTCTTGAGGGATCGATGACTACCAAGATATCCGAGTACTTAGATCGTGCTATTAATGCGGGCAAGACTAATCTACACATCAAATGCAACGGAGACATATGGTGTGAGGATTGGAAGATCATCAAACGAAGATTTGGTATGTCAAAGATGGAAATGGGAGGGAGAGCATGCCTACTTAAAGAAGGAAAGTCGCTGATTGAACGCGGGGGCATGTTGATCATCAGAGAACCAGCGGAGACTGTCACCCACCCAACGAAGGTCCGACGAAAACTTCTCCTTCTTCTGACTCAGCCATGGCGTAGGAAGCTGCTATGGAAGAAGGAAGACCACGAGCTCACCTATATGTACCAGGCTACTAGGGGTTTCGACAAGAGGAGTAGGCAGAGAATTATGACAATCCTATCTAAAGTACTAAATGAGAAGGTTGGGATCAATCTTAGGAAGAGACATACAGTGAAAATTCCTTATGACGATCGAGGACGCGACGCCGACTGATAAGGGTGTCAGAGGAGGAACTGACGCAAAATTGAACTAGAAAATAAATAGGAAATGTATCTAGGAACGGATACAGAGATGTGGCACGCGACTATATCGTACGAGTAGCAATTTTAGAAAATAGTCTTTTTGGTACGAGGATCGAGGGACCCCCCCTGATGATGATCGGCTGGCAACCGATCAAAACGCGGCGTAGGGGGAAGCCGCTGGACTGTAGGTGGAGACTGGCACTGATGTGCCATGTACGAGCTTACATGTGACGGGAGAGAGGTTTTGGGTTGTTGTACCGAGCTTATCGATTCATCTTTCTTGCAATCGCTCGTCCTTCTTTCCTTTCATGTGATCTTTGTGCATGAGAACGCGCTGTGTGCTTGAGTACACGCTGTGTGTTTGAACTATCCAAGTAAGAGAGGTTGAATGACAAAAGTGGAATATGGGTCAAATTGCGGCCGCTATCTATTTTGCGGTTGAAATGATCTTTAAAATTTATTTAATATTTTTCCTGGAAAGATCACAACAAAATCTACAAGTCTTCAATTTTCAGATTTTTTTCACGCAATCTTCCGAGCATGAAAAATCACTGACGTTGGAGTACTTTTTCCATTGGCCCACACATGGCTGAGTGGCAAAAATGGAAAATGTGTGGAATTGGCGTGACGATTTTATTTCACGGTCTTAATGATTTTTTTGAAATTTTTCTGATATTTTTCCTGGAAAGTCCACAACCTAATATAATATATGGATTCTCAATTTTCCATATTTTTCTGCGAATTCCTCCAAGCACAAAAAATCGCCAAAGTTGTCTCTTACAAATTGCAGGACTGGACCCGCTGGTACCCTTCGCCTTGGACAGCCTGCTTGTGGGACTCCTGACAACGCCTCCCCTTCTTACTTCTTTTTGGGGTCCATTTCCACCTGACGACCGATCGTTCCTTTTTTCCAGAAGTCCCAGTTCTACGAGAGCTAACTGTAGGTCGTCCGCGATATCGCCAAGGACTGGTCCCCCAAAAACTTTTGCCCCTTAAACCACCAGTACCTCCTTAAAGTGTTCCGCGTTAACGGCCAGCCAAAAGTGGAAATCACACCGTTTCCACTTGGCTGAATCGGGGCTACCGGCCCAGGCCTGTTCATCCCAAAAGCCACGCCAGTTAACGCGGAGCACGTTTAGGAGGTACTGGTGGTTTAAGAACCCACTTGCGTCCTGGTCGCCCGCTGCCGAAAATTTGACACCTTGACATGGACGCTGAAGCCCACTATACCGCAGCCTTAGGGTTGCCGACAAAGGAAAAACACACCATGGCTTAGGTTGCTCTTGGGGGTGATAGGAGCATCCCCCAATAGCAAGCTCTCTGTCGGTGGCTCCTGTCTATTGCTGGGGAGCGTCAACTGCTGGAAACTGGGTCCAGCGTCCCATTGTATAGCGTGGTTACTCAGCACTGCCAGTCCGTGTACTCCGCAGCATGGATTGCCCTGTTGCCAGGGTGTCAACTGCCTATATTTCTCGAGGCCTCTTCAGCCCCCTTTTTTAGGTTGCCAGAAGTTCCAGAACAACTCATTTACCCTAGCCTCCTGTTATCATTCTCCTGAATCTCCTCCATACGATTGCAGCTCTTCTAAGGAGAGGTCATGTGGAGGGAAAAGGTCAGAGAAGTCAGAAGGGGTTTGCAGGGGTACTGATGGATCGATCTTTGTGCAGTCCTGCGGAGTGGAGCCTGATCCTCTCCCCTCCCTCCTCCCCACTGCGCCTCAGCTATCCATCCCCCCTGTTCCGCCCCCCAGCCAGTCCTTACCGTTGTTACGACCTTTGTTTTTTTTTTCTTTCAAACAAAGGCCAGACTTGGTCTACCACGGGGGGTGATATGAGCAGCCTCCCTAGTCGGCCCATTATTGGCCGCTCTATCTATTGGTGGGGAGCATCACCTTCTGGAAAACGGGTTCAGCGTCCCTGAGTACAATAGTCGAGTTTAGTTTGACTCATACATGGATGATGCATGAGAGTACATGGAGTGAGTTCCTTGTGGGCAGCCTGTGAACCTAAGAATGCAGCCAGCACCTCTTCACCTCTTCACCTCTCCACCGGGCGCCAGGTATGTTCTGTAGAGAGCAAGTACCCTGCATTCTAAGCAAGAGAAAAGCCCTCTGAGACCTACTTTTGCTGCTATTCACCTACCCACATTCATTCATCACTGCTTAAACCCTGAACCCTAGCCCTCCTCTCTGTTTCCCGCATAGGCCCTTGCTCTGCCTATCCCTCCCCCCTGCAGCTTCTGCCCACTAGTGAATCTAGCATACTCACATCTACTTTTTGTTGGATGGTTTTCTGCTTTAATTTGAAAAAAAAGAAGCAGTTTTGATCTGGTTGCTGAATGAGCAAGTCTGTTTGATTGTGTTGCTTTATTACTTCTGTGAATTCCTCACCTGTGATGCGGAATCTCACGCCCCGTGCAATGTTCCGTATCCATACGAGGAACGCCCGTCAGAGTATGGTGTGTGGCAGAGGATTTTGCGCAAGGGGTGAAATTCCAGCGCATAAACCAGAACTTCCCATGTCAGTCCGAGGAGTGCGAAGGAGAGAAACAAAATCCGGAGACTCCTTTTCCATAATTGTCCCCTGCTCGGAAGGACTTCAAACAAAATGGACCAAGGAGGATCAAAACGGCTCAAGAAACGGAGAAACAGATATGTGACCCCCTCAATCGGACTCTCCAAGAAGACATAATTAAATAGAAGAAAGAGAAAATCAACAGGCAAAATTGATTATGGCCCCAGGATCTTTCTCACGAGTCTGAAACCTCACTGTGGGACGGCGGAGGGAACGGGGAGCCGGTTAGCCGCTCGGCTATCTTTCAGAAAGTGGGCGACACCCTAAACCCTAATACCCCAGCACCCTCCCCACCTTGCACCATCAACAGTTGAACTCGGGGTTCCACGTGGCATGTGTGGCCAACCAAGGAAGCACCATCAGTGTTGGGGCGAATCAAAGTTGGAACTTGAGTAACTAAACCGGAGAGCCGGATAGACATTTGACCACTTCAGCCATTATATTCAGTTCTAGAATACGAGGTTTCGACAAACTCGATTCAAATATAAAATCTTGATAAATAATAATATGATTGATGAGCCAAATTATAGAACAAAAAAACAAGAAAGTCGGAAAGAGTAAATGGTTTTCTACTCTCTCTCTCTCTCTCTCTCTCTCTCTCTCTCTCTCTCTCTCTCTCTCTCTCACACACACACACACACACACACACACACACACA